GAGATGGAAGCCAATAGTGCTTCCACTGGTGCAGTGGTGCTAACTGCCTGTGCTAGAGACCTCAGGATGGAAGGAGGCCCAGGAGGGGTTCTGGATGTGCAGGTTAACGTAGCACCCATCCTTCTTACTCTTCTGTCTTCCAACTCAAGGGACCATTTTTAAAACCTGTTTCTAGAGTTCCCCAGAGGCTGAGGGTCAAAACCAAAGCTTCAAGTTCAAGTCTCTGAGGGACCCAGATACAGTCAGCACAGCATAAGTGTGTCTGCAGAGGCTATCGAACTCACCTTCTACCCACAGAGACTACAGAGATGCATGGGTAAGCTTGATTGTCAGCAGGAGCTAGAAGCACCATGGAAACACCTCCGAGCATGTCTGGGAAGAGGTTCCTGGATTAAATTAATTGAGATGGTGAAAACCCACCCTAAATATGGGCAGTGCCATTCAAAGGCTGGGACACCAACTCCATATAAAGGGGGAAAGGGAGCTGAGCTCCAGCATGCATTTTGCTCTGCTTACTATTGTGGAAACAATATGACCAGTTGCTTGACGCTCCTACTGCCATGACTTCCGGCATGATGTCCTGCGCCCTCAAACTGAACCAAAGTAAATGCATCCTTCCTTAAATTGCTTTTTTTGACTATTTTATTGCAGTAAGATGAAAAGAGATGAACACAAAACAAAACCAGGGAAGCAGGTTAGCTTCCTGGCTTAGTTCCTTCTGGAACTGGGTGGCAGAGCCAGGATGAGGAACTCCAGTTCCTTTGCCTTAGTGCATGATCTCAGCCAGATGAAATAATATGCACCTACCACTCCCCAAGTGACAAAGTGGGGGATAACATTAGCTTTTTATTTAAAAATACATGTGTTGGTGGGGCATCAGGCTGACACTTGGTCCAAGACGATGATGAGAGTTCACTTTCCAGAAACAACACTGTGGGAGGAGAGGACCGAACCCATCAGCTGGGAATAAAGAATACATATTTAAAAAGAAAATGCAAATAAAAGCATACAAAGATGAGAGTTACAGCTTAGAATGCAAAATCCGCTCTGAGTTTAGAGCCGAAGCAAGGAGTCTTAAGGTGGGAATGTTTACTAAGTACTTGGGCTGTTTGTATATCAGATTCCCCAAGCAGCATTACAGAATATGTTTTTATTTTATAGAAGAGTTTGGGGCTGAGAGCTGAGCTTTCCAGCAGGCTGGTGAGGTCCGCTGAGTGCTGGTGTTTCTGTGGGAGGCTGAGGAAGCACCCCCCCCCCCCGCTCTCCATGCTCTTAACAATTGTTATTTGTAGGTGTTATCAGTACACAGAACATAAGAAAACAGCCCCAAGAGGCTGCTGTGAGAACCTCATGGAATTCTGAACCCTAGGTTCATTCACCTTAGCTTTCCAAGGACACCTGCCAGCCCTTGTAGAATTCCAGGAAGCAGACAGGTCACCTAGTTGAAGCTCATTCCTCGTGGTTGTGGACCGAAGTTATCAGCCATAATTGATGGGAAGTAGCTAACTTCATCAAGGACTCTTTTTGTAGGCATGGATTTCTGGCAAAGTACATTCTGAAGCTCTGAGCATTGTTCAGCTTAGTGTTGCTATGAGACAGCAGCTGTTTGTTTCTCCACGTTGTTCTCCTGAGACTCTTATATAGCCACAAGGAGACCAACAAAGCAAAAAAAAAAAATCCTGAGCCCAGGGGGTCCTGCAAAGACTGATGCACCAACCTAGGACCATGCATGAAGGTGACCTAGAGCCCCTGCTCAGATGTAGCTGATTGGCAGCTCAGTCTCCATGTGGATCTCTGAGTGAAGGGAGCAGGGGCTGCCTCTGTCATGAACTCGGTTGCCTGCTCTTTGATCACTTCCCCCAGGTGATGCGGCCTTGCCAGGCCACAGAGGAAGAGGATCCAGGCAGTCCTGATGAGACTTGATAAAGCTAGGGGCAGATGGCAGGGGAGGAGAACTCCTCCTTTCAGTGAACTAGGGGAAGGAGATAGGGGGAAGAGGGAGGGGAGGACTGAGAGGAGGAGTTGAGGGAGGAGGGAGGAGTTCAATCAGGATATATAATTAATAAGTTGTGAAAAAATTACAATTAAAAAAAGAAGAAAAGATCTAGTGACTGCACTTCCCATTTTCCCTCCCCATCTCTCTCCTTATCTCTTATTTTAGAAAGAAAAGCGTAGCACCTCATCAGTTGTATAATGTCTCCAGCAGATAAATTAGAATATCAGATGGGGAAGGCCTCGGGAGGGTAGAGGTCCTTTCAACTGTGTAATTGCTGTTTTAATCTGATGCTGTGATACAAGGAACCAGAGACGGCCAAGAGTCTCTCTGAATAGTGACTAGTCAGATGCCCTAGGCAAACAGTTACCTCTTGGAGTAAGAACAGCTTTAGAGAATGCATGTTATTGGAGCCCCCTCTGTCAACACTGTGATGTGAGTCCCCTCACAGTGCAGGGATGTACAGCTGTTGGTGTTGCCTGCTGCCAGGTTTTAGATGGACAGTGTTTCCTCTGGGCTCCTGTGCTCAAACCCTTGGTTCTCAGCTCGTGTAACTGTTCTGAGAGGTAGAACTTTTTTTTTTTTTTTTTGGACATGGGGCTGAGTGGGCAGAGGTAGGGTCACAGGGTCATATGGTCAGGGCTTATGGTTTCTCTTTTTCTCCTGATCATTGGCATGTGAGCAAGAAGGCTCATGCTCCTCTCCCATGGGCCTAGCCGCACACTTGTGTCTTTCCTGCCTTAGTGGTGCTCATTCGCAAGCCAGGAGCCAGAGCAATCCTTCCTGCCTTGCATTGTTTTTATTTCTCGCCAGTATTGGCAATTGATACCCTTGTCTATTATCTTTTTCTTCATTTTTAGTTGCTTCAGATCTCTTTTCTTTTGGAGGTCCAGTGGTCTTTGGGGAGAAGAGCTGAAATCTGAAGCAGCCAGAATGACCTGGGCACTGCTGCTTGAGCGACCGGAACACAAGCATGGCAATGTACACACACCGGGCCTTGCTCATCACATAGCCTTCCCATGAGACTTGAAATCAAAATCCTGCCCTTCTTTGTCTACTCAGGCTGAGTCTAGTAAATGCTTGGATATTGATTGGCCACCCAAGACGGGCTAAAAATTCTTGTCCTGAAGGTGTTGTCCTGGAAACACCAGTTTCCTGGATACCCGAGGAGCCTGGTTTCCTGTTCTGCTTGACACCTTGTGGTGTAGCTTATATTTTTACTCTGTAATGTACCATCATCTCCAACTAATAACTTTCATTTGTGTAATGTTTTGCTTAAATGACCTAAAGTTCATTGCTATTCGAATAAAGGAATGCTCAGCTTCTGCTTCAGAAAGAAGCTACCCAGGCCAAGCCTCTGTGGTGCGGAAGCCTGCTTTCTCATCATTTCCTTATGAACTTGTAAACTTTTCCTGTGAGGGGAAAAATGTGTTCAGTAGAGTAAATAAGAAATAGGGTTTTAACAAAGAACAGCAGTGTGTGTTGCGGGGGGGGGGGGGCGTAGCCTGACTCTTTGACCGTGTAAGTATGTACAAACGTGCTTGGGCCAGGCACAGGAGAGGTGCCTGGCTTTTTGAGATGTCTTAAATTCATTTATGTTCAGGTGCAGCGGTGCACACCTGTAATCCCAGCACTCGGGGAAGCAGAGGCAGGCGGATATTTGTGAGTTTGAGGCCAGCCTGGTCTATAAAGCAAGTCCAGGACAGCCAAGGTTACACAGAGAAACCCTGTCTCAAAAAACAAACAACAACAGCAACAAAGTTCACTTATGTAATGTAGGTTCTTTTTTGGTGTCCTCCTTCAATGCCTACCTACTTTTTGTAGTTCAGACATGTCTTGTTTTGAGATGTAGGTGTCATTCAGCCCAGGCTGGCCTCAGTGTTGCTAGGTTGCTGAAGGTGGCCTTGAACACCCAACTCTTGATTCTCCTATGTCATCATTTCCAGCCACAAGATTTTTCTTTTCTTTCATTCTTAAATTTTTATTTTTGAGACCATCCATATAGCCATATGGTTTCTTGACTGGCCTTGAACTTGTGGTCCTCCTACCTTTGCTTCCCAAGTGCGGGGATGACAGTTACACACCGTGCTACCCAGCTTAAACCCTAGTTACTAGACTCTAGTAAGTGAGAGTTCCAGGGAAGGTCTCATTAGAACACAGAGGTGAAATCTACATTTCCGTAAGATCCCAGTGATGTCCAAGCTTCTGGCCCTGAGGGTCACAATGAGCACGAAAACCAGTACAAAACTCCTTCCCAGCCTCGGTTTCCCATGTTTTCCATAGAAAGGATGTCCAAGTCCAAGTATAGCATCCTGTAATACCACAACCTGCCAGCAGGTGTCAGCAGCATAGCCTGAGAGGCACATCGGACTCTATTCTTCTAGGATCGTAGATGTGTTTCCAAAGTGTTCATGCAATCAGTCTTTCAAGTAGCTTTTGGTTACGGTTTGAACCTCTGTGCACGGGGACCACGGAAGGGGAAGCCTGCCAAGTATTTTCATAACCTTTGTTCTTTCTGATTTCAAAATCATTTGTTCACATCTTCCTGGAAATTTGGCTCTTGGGTTTTTGTTGTTCATTTGGTTTGGCTTTTGGCTTTTTAAGCCCAGGCTGACCTTACACCTGTTATATAGCTGAGGATGACCTTGAACTGCTGAATTCTTTTACTTTCGCTTCTCAAGTACTGGGATTATAGATGGGTGTCAACATGCCAGGCCAGCAAAAGAGGCTCCGCAGCACTGCCATGGTTCAGCTCTCAGATGGCGTTTTCATGCATTTTCTTTGTGTTTCTTCTTCCAAGACTTATTTTTATTTTAAAGTCTATGGTGTGTGTGTCCGTGTACCCTCTCACACATACATAAGCACAGATTCCTGAAGAGGCCAGAGCTGAACCTAGAGATGGACGCCAGGAACCAAGCATAGTTCCTCTGCAGGAGCAGTAAACACTCTTTTTTTTTTTTTTCAGTGAACACTCTTAATGGCCCCTTATGCATTTTCTTTCTTCCAGAGGAAACGTCATTACTGCCAACAGATGACAAAGTGAAGAAAGGTCCAGAGAAAGACTGCAGTGACTTGTCGAATACAGTGAAGCAAAAGGAGAGGAGTGAATGTAGGGTGCCTATGCAAATCCTCACTCTTTACCCTCTTTATAATGGAATAAAAATTGCCCACAAAAAAGTGTTAAACTTCGTCGTTATCAACAAGACCGAAAGCTAGCTAAGCATGCTGGGAACCCCCTGGTTCTGATTAAATGCTACTTAAGGCTGGTTCTGACTCCTCAGGGATACAGTGTCCATCTTAGATAAAAACCGCTGAGCTCAAATGCTCTACAGACCTGTATTGTGTAACTAATGTACAACACATGAAATACCAAAGCCCCCTCCAAAGACTTCCTGGACTTGTTAGAAATTGGTGAGGAGGAAAGAAACCTGAGCGTATTTCTGTGCCTAGGTGTAGGAGTGTCCAGGGGACTTGCTGTCCCCTCCTCTAGAACTTCTCAGTCTGTGCAGCCACAGCCATCCCCTCCCAGTCCTCCAGCCCCATCAAATTGGGCACAAAGAGGCCACTGTCAGCTTGGAGACCGAGCAGAGCAGCCTGCTGAGAGAGCTCAGGGGAGAGAGGGCAGTGAATGATGGCTACCGCTCCTTCCAGCGCCGGAACCTCAGAACCTGCTGCTTGGAATGTTGCCCACGATGGTCATGTGGGGTGTCAACATGGAGAATCAGATTTTAAAATATTTCTGTGGCCAAATTAATCCGAGAAAGGCTGGTTTTGACCAAGTGACGCGGGTTCTCTCCTTCACACAGGGTTTCGGGGCTGTGAATGGGGATGGGCTGGGTCAACAGTGGGTGCCTCCCTTTTGAGATTTGTTCGGGACACCTGACAGAGAACAGGGAAAGGCATGAGTGATCTTCCCCTATGGACAGGGCAGGCTTCCTGAGCATGTGACCTGAGAGCAGTTGCACAGGCTCCCAGAGGCACCTTGCTTTAGTACCATACTGCAGCCATCTTGGGTTTTTGTTGTCACCATTTTCTGTTTAGTTTTGTTGGGACCTGCTCTCATTATGTAGGCCTCTGTGGCCTCAAACTCGTGATCTTCCTGCACTAACCTGTATAGCGCTGGGATCACAGGCATGCACCACCCTGCTTGGCTGCCAACTTGAAACCTTCTGTGAAGTTTGATCACCAGCATGTATTGGGTCATGCGACTTACGTAGAATACATGGAGGCCCAGAGAAGGGAGGAGCCCTGCTTGTTCCTCCTTCTTTTCTCGGTACCTTCTCTTTATCCCTGCTTACTCTTCTGCTCTCTCTCCTTTTCTGACATTGCTTTTCTTCACTGAACCCTCTATTTTCTCACCTTTCACCCCTTTGTTTTTTACCTGTGGACATACAATCTCAGAAACAATTTACTTATCTGTAAGAAGTAAATGGCCCAGCCTGGCCTCAGAGTCCTCACCCATCCTGTCTAACCCTGCTTCACTTTTCTCATGCATCTTCCTTTTTTTTCTTAAGATTTTTATCTATCTATCTATCTATCTATCTATCTATCTATCTATCTATCTATCTATCTATCTATCTGTCTATCTGTCTGTCTATCTTTTTGTCTATCTATCTATCTATCTATCTATCTATCTATCTATCTATCTATCTATCTATCTATCTTTTTGTCTATCCATCCATCCATCTATTTGTATTGGTGTGTGTTCGTGTGCAGTGCAGCCAGAGGTCAGATCCTTGGAGCTGTAGTTACAGGTGATTGTGAGCCACCCAGTGTGGGTCTTGTGCAAGAGCAGTCTGTGCTCTTAACCACCAGCCCATCTCTCCGGCCCTCCCTCTGTCTTTGTTAAGACTCGTTGGCACCAAGAGAAACATTCAGAACCCTGTATGGATGACATTTAGGTGTACTAGCTCTTAGTAACTGGGCTGCATAGGGATGGGCGGGAACTCTGCAGATAAAGTTGGATTCAGCAGCCTAAGCTGTGCCATTTGGGTCCCTTTCCTCTGTGATTGCTGCTTGCCTCTGGGACCTGTTATCTGGCCAAATCTTTCTGCAAGGAGGCTGAGCTTGTGTCATTTGGAGAGGAGAACGAAGGCCACTCATTCCTTGAGTTACCTGGCAAAACTGTAGAGAAATTTCGGAGTGGCCCAGTTTATGTCCTTGCCCCTCACTACTGGGCGTGCCCTGGAGTAGGTCATGTGCCAGACCACGTGGTTCAAGGCTGACTTAGGTGAGCTCTCTGTGAGCAACAGGGCTTCTAGAACCAACCCTAGCAGAATGCAGGGACTGCCCTGCAGAGAAGAGGGGAAGGATGAGCCCCAGTGACCCGAAGCACCTTCTCGGCTTTCTCCCAAGCCTGCCCCCCTTCCACACAGGTGCCATGGTTTCTGCTGGCTATGTGCACGCTAATCACGCTAATCTTCTTTTCCCCATATGCACCTGGACCTTCAAGCTTAGCCCGTAACGAACACTCAGGAAGTCCTGGGCTTTTATTTGTTTGTTTGTTTTACAGAAGTTCATGAGTACTGTATTTACATGATTTCCACCTCTCTCTCTCTCCCCCTCTTGAACTCATGACCTATTCTTCTATATGTGTTGTTCTTTCTCCCCCAACACACATACACCTGAGTCCATTCTTCTGATCATGTGTTTACAGTTGATCTCTTGGGATTAGATAGCCACCCAGAGAGCCAGCCCTGGAAACCATAACTGCCTGTCATCCTTCATCTAGGGTGAAGCCTTGCGGCATGTCGACTGCTGTGATCACTGTGCAGATCCTGTTTAAATGGCCATACTGAGATCTCATAGGTATAGCTTTCTTGTTGGACATAGACAGCAGAGCCTCATCCCCCGACAACCTGGTCCTCTGGCTTTTACGCTCTTTCTGTTCCTTCTTCCATCCTGTTCCCATAATCTTAGAAGCGGGGCTGTCCTCTAGATTTCTCTCTTGGTGACGGGTATCCCATGATCATTTTGACCAGTCGTGGCTGTCTGTAGTAGCCTCCATCTCCTGCAAAAAGAAGCTTCTGTGATGAGGGTGAGAGCTGCTCTTTACTGGCTGGCTCCCACTGCCGTGGAAGTCAGGAAGGCTCTGAAAATACTTGTGGAACCTTTGGGATGATGGAACACTGACGAGGTTTTATGAGAAAGACGGGCCTTTTGGTGAACTTCAGTGAGTCAGCTCCATTCCAGCCTTTGTTTGCATAGCTTTTATGGGAGACTTTGCTGGCCTAGGTTTGTTAGTTGAAAGGATCAGACGGTCACTTGAAAGGTGTTGACTGAAAGGGTTCAAGGTTGTCAAATAGAGCAGCTGGGCCTCATTAGAATCTGGAAGAGACCCAGAACCAGGGTGTCTTTCTGTTCTTGTGTCTCTCTGTTTGCTTGGGTTTTCCTGCTTCCCACAAAAGTGGCTGTTGTTGGATTACCTATCGCTGCCTTCTGTGGGAAGCTGCTGGCCTTGCCTGGTGACAGACATCATCACCTGGTAGTTTTTGGGCCCATCACTATGTGACACATTCTTGAGTCTCTTTACCCAGAGTTTTATGAAAGAATAGCTGTGGTCAAGAGACAGCGAAGACAGTGGTTTTCCTTTTTCTTTTCTTTTATGGATATTTTCATTCATGTGTATGTGTGTGTTGTATGTGATTGTGTGTATACGTATGTGTGTATACATACATGTGTGTGCATACATGTAAGCCACAAATGTACAAGAGCTCACAGAATGGCATCTGATGCCCTTCTCTGGAGTTACAAGTGCATATGGACCTCCTGACTGTGGGTGCTGGAAGTGAACATGGTTCTTCTGGAAGAACAGTACCCTCCCTTAATTTCAGGGCCATCTGCCCAGCTCTCCTCTGGGCTTTTAGACACAGGGTCTCACTCTGTAGCCCTGGTTGGTCTGGAACTCAGTGTAGACTAAGTTGCTTTCAAGTTCATAGAGATACACCCACCCTGCCCCAGACATGCTGAAATTAAGGCTGTGTGCCAACAAGCCTAGATCTACTCTTTAAAATTAGCTAATTAACTACCTAACTCATTGATGATTCTTCCTTCCTTCCTTCCTTCCTTCCTTCCTTCCTTCCTTCCTTCCTTCCT